AAGTATTTCAAGGGCTGTCATGTAGAAGATGGAGCAGATCTATTCTCTCTTGCTCCAGATTGCAAGACTAGATCTAATGGGTGGAAATTACAAGGGAGTCGATACCGGCTGAATATCAGGAGAAACTTCCTAACTGTAAGAGTGGTTGAGCAGTGGAACAGACTGCCTCAGGAGGTGGTGGATACTCCTTCGCTGGACATTTTCAAGCGGAGGCTGGATCCCCATTTTTCGGCTATGTTGTAGGGCTATCTTTCAGCTTTGCTCCTGCATGGTGCAGGGGGTTGGACTAGATGACCTGCAAGGTCTCTTCCAACGCTAACATTCTAGGATTCTGTGACCCAAATCCATCCCCTTCTTTCTATCTCTGGGGTCAGGAAGCTCACAGAAAGTCAAGGAGAGTCAAGGAAGCTAGATTCAGATACCCTATCTATTTTGATTCTGGTATTGACACCACTAACTTCTGGAATGTATAAACATCCTCTAAGGCAAAAGTCATGCACAGAGTTATCGATACGAGAAAGCCACAGCACCAGCAGAGTTCTGAAACCTCCTGGGAAACTGAACCAAGGAGTCAACTATAGAGGCTAATTTACTGTAGAAATTAAAGTGACAGGTTTAGCAGGGGACTGAGGCTCAAGCCAGGCCCTAATTCCACGACACGGAGACTCAGTCTCAGTCCAAACCCTAATTCTGCAACAATTTTACTAAAGTGTTTTGTGTAGTGCAAAGCATGAAATAAATTTACTGGTGGCTTGGCTTTAAAGGTGCTCTGTGTGAAGAAACATTTCAATGAAATGTGCTAGCAGAGCTCCAAGGATTTTTCTGTAGTCAAAGTTCTCTTGGGTGAGTAGTCTGCATTGGTGTTCTGCCTCTGGGACCTTGGTATTCTTCCATACCGTTGTTTCACTTAGCCCGTGAGTCTTTACAGAGAAACCACAAGCAACGTTTCATACTCTTGCACAACCAGAGTGATTGCATTTCTATGCAAGTTGGCTATGTACACTCTGTCCTGAAGAGACTGATGAAATCCCTCGTGGTTTATTCTGATCCCCCCCCCAAAAGCTTCTCTCCCTCAAATCCCGTTTTGTCTCTTTTAAAGCCCTCTCAAGGGTTCCATTGACCACAGCCATTGTAGCTTTCTCAGCATGAGCACAAGAAAGCTTTTTGCAACTTATCTACACCTTTCCTTATAAGCTCCAGATAACTGTTTCAGCTGTTCAAGGTTACTTTGATGAATCTGTCTCTAGTTCTACCCCACCCGTCACGCCTACCCTTTCTTGACAGATGCCACTGCCGTGGTGATTTCCAGCCCAAGCGTTGATGCCAGGACTTGCAAGCATGGCCTCCGGAGTTCAGGAAGGTTATATTGCAGCCCACATGGACCCACCACAGCAAATTAGTACAAAGCAATAGCAACCTGCCACCAGCATCTTCTTAACACCACAGACAATAAAATAATGGGAGTAAATGCATCATAGAACATTTGCTTCCTAAAGTAACTTTCCTCCCCTTGGACTTCACAGGTCCTGTGTTAACAACCCCAGGAGAAAAAGAGGAAGCAGTGAAAAAACAGGCAGCATTCTACACAGAGCTCTGGTTTGTGGCACTTATGGCCATCCTGGGCTTGATCCTTCTGGCAGTTTTTCTGTCCCTGATTCTGCAAAGGAAAATAAGTAAGCAGCCGTATGCAAGGGAAAGGCCTCCTTTAGTTCCACTTCAAAAGAGGATGTCACCCATGGTGGTCTACTCACAAGGAGAAACACATATGGTAAGATGCAGAGGCTATACATTTTTTTCAGAGGGAATAACTGTAAACACATTTTCCATGTATGTACATGTAGGCATCCTCACACACACGTACGATTGTATGACACAAACCTTTAAAGATATGAAATAGATAGGAAAGTGCACCCTCTGGTGAATCAGCAGGAGGTGTGGAAAAATATGGCCACCGTCATATGGTGATGGAGCCCACCAAGTGTGGAGCCTGGTTCTTTTCCCACACAGCCATGTTCCTATATATGTGGGGATTTGGGGGGAGGACTTTAAGCAGTGTGAACGAGCCCTTTTGTCAATCAACCATTTACAAATGACACAAGAGCACCATGCATTTTTATGTCTGATTGATTTTAATACTTGACTTGGGGTGCAATCCTGAGCAGGCCTACTCAGAAGTAAGTCCTAGTGTTCTTAGAAATGCTGCCTTACTTGTACATGGGTAGAAAATAGCCATTACACTTGACACGAGCAACAGCTTTATGTCATATTCCTCTCATCCTGTTTAGAACTAGGCACATTGCCCGTGCTATGTGTATCTGCATCTGCAGCAGGCAGTGATATGAAGCAATGCCAGGAAGCACTGTAAGCGTGTCAAGAGACTTAAATTGACACTGGGATGCCATTTTGGGTGGCAGTTTCATGTTGAATGCAATATTTTGAGTCACCCTAATTCTTGCCAAGGGAGGGAAGGCGGCCTGGTATAAGCCCGATCTCATCAGATCTTGGAAGCCAAGAAAGGTTGGTATTTGGGAGGGAGACTGCCCAGGAAGACTCTGCAGAGGGAGGCCATGGCAAGCCCTGAAAGCCTGTTGGGGTCACCATAAGTTGGCTGTGACTTGACGGCACTTTGCACACACAATTCCTGCCAAAGGAAGTATTTAGAAGTGCTTAATCTAGTTGAACCACATTTTTGTGAAGATGTTTTTTGTTCTGCCACACATTTGGTGATACTTAGCATTTTTAATTGTGCCATATTTGGCGGGTTCTGGCTGGCTTCTCCATCTTCACTGTTGCTTTTAATATTTCATTGCTGAGCTGTTTCCTTTATGCTGCTGTTGTGTTATCAAATTTTTATTGGCTCAGATATATTTTGTCATTGGTTTTGTCATTGCCTGCCTCTGGGTCATGACCCTGGTATTCCTTGGAGGTCACCCTTCCAAATGCTAGCCAAGGCTGTCCCTGCTTAGTTTAAGATCTGACAGGATCGGGCTATCCTGGGCTATCCAGGTCAGAGCTTATTCAAGTCAGGATTTAACTGCACTCCAACTACTATACTCTTCTGCCCAATGGGAACCCAAAGTGGTTTCTCCCCTTCTCCATTTTATCCTCACAACAGCCCCTTGATGTAGGTTAGTCTGAGAGTGTGTGACCAGCCCAAGGTGATCCAGCATGCTTCCATGGCAGAAAAAAGGTAAAGGTTTCCCTTGCTCAAAAGCCCAGTCGAATCCAACTCTAGGGAGTGGTGCTCATCTCCGTTTCCAAGCCAAAGAGCCAGTGCTGTCGAAAGACATTTCCGTGGTCATGTGGCCTGCTTGACTAGACAGCAGGGCACACAGAATGATGTTACCTTCCCACCAAAGCGGTACCTATTTATCTACTTGCAATTTCTTGCTTTCGAACTGCTAGGCTGGCAGGAGCTGGGGCAAGAGACAGGAGTTCACTCTGTCACTTGGGTCTTGAACTGCCCAGCTACTGACCTTCCGGTCTGCAGCTATGCATTTTAACCACTGAGTCACCGTGGCCCCATACCATGACAGAGTGGGGATTTAAACTGAGGTCTCCCAGATCCTACTCTCACACTCTAACCACTGTGCCATGCTGTCAGTCATATTTGCACTATTTACTGAGCTGTGAACTATCTGAAGAACTCTGATGGGAAGGTGGTCTACAAAGTATTTTAAAAAAATAAATAAAATTATTTTAAAACAGAGTTAGTAAGTAAAGAGATGCTTCCTCCAGTGATGTGAAACTTGGCAAAATTATGAAACTGAGAACAGAAGCAGCATTTTTTATCTGTGCTTTGTGACTTTCTAAAGGGACCTTTGCAGAATTACATAGCTAGCCATTCTTCAGCTCCCACATGTGCTGTGGGAATTTCTTTGTTCAGATTGAACATCATGCTTGAATGTTTCTCTCATTTTCACAGCTTAATCCTTCGTTAAAAAAAACGTTTTTAAGAGTGTAGCAAGTCGACAATTTTAATTTTTATGTAGACCCTTAAGGACCTGTCATTGCCATGGCTACTTCTCGAGCATTACGGCGTTAGGGGGCCAAGTGGGTGCCTTAAAGGAAGATGTCTGCATTTCAGGAATGACCTCAGGAGCTTGGGGGATGCTGCTCTCAGCAACATTTCTATGGCAACTCCATGTTGATAGTAAAGGCAGAATTAGGGCCTGTTTAACCAGTTTTATTTAGGTTTCTGAGCCTGAACAGTGACCTTTAAAAATAGCTTGGTTTGCCACAAGACTTATAGGAATTGTCACTTGGAACTTAAAAGAAGCTGCTAGTGAAAAAATTAAGGGTGTCTATTACTAAATGTTATTATGGGATTAAATGTTTAAAAAGTACCAGATGGAAAGAAAACCCTGTGAATGCATAGACAGAATGCATTCTGTCACTACAGGTTGATCAGAAGCCAGGTTCGGGGGTGGAGGGATAACCCTGATTCCTCACTTTTGCGGTTTCTCCTGCCACAGGCCACAGATGGCACCCATACGTTTTCCTTATTGGAGATAATAGCAGCTCTTTTATCAAAAACTGGCGACCCCCCCCCCCCCCCCCCCTCAGGGACACACCCTCCCCATACCCTTTTAAATA